CAAAATCCCTGCTCCCGGTTCCCCCCAGGGGCTCCTACGGAGAGGCGACTCCGCGGAAGGGCTAGCGGTCCCGCCCGAGTCGGCCCGAGAGCGCAGCCATGGGCTTCCGAGCCGTGCTGCGCGTTGCCACCCTCCTGCTCCTGCTCAGGACCTGGCTCGCGGATAGCAACAAGCGCAGTCGCAGCCGGGGCTCCAAGTTCTCCAATCCCTGCTCCCGGTTCCCCCCAGGGGCTCCTACGGAGAGGCGACTCCGCGGAAGGGCTAGCGGTCCCGCCCGAGTCGGCCCGAGAGCGCAGCCATGGGCTTCCGAGCCGTGCTGCGCGTTGCCACCCTCCTGCTCCTGCTCAGGACCTGGCTCGCGGATAGCAACAAGCGCAGTCGCAGCCGGGGCTCCAAGTTCTCCCGAGTGCCCAAAGACTTACTGGACATCTTCAACTGGTAAGCGGGCGCCTCCAGGCTGGACGCGGCGCCTTGTGCCCCGCGCGTGCCTCCAGCGCAGCCGGGCGGGAGTGCCCGCGCCCCACAATCTGCCCCGCTGTCCCAAAGAACTAAGGTCCCCGGGGCAGCTTTCCCCCGTCGCATTCTCTGGCACCTGTGGGATAGGGTGACGGGCAATTCCTAAACAGGAGAGACACCTGTTTGAGTCCGAGGCTTGCGCGCAAATGTGAATGCGTTGCCCCGCGCGTGCCTCCAGCGCAGCCGGGCGGGAGTGCCCGCGCCCCACAATCTGCCCCGCTGTCCCAAAGAACTAAGGTCCCCGGGGCAGCTTTCCCCCGTCGCATTCTCTGGCACCTGTGGGATAGGGTGACGGGCAATTCCTAAACAGGAGAGACACCTGTTTGAGTCCGAGGCTTGCGCGCAAATGTGAATGCGTGTGTGTTGGGGCGAGGGACCCGTTCCAATGAGGCAGGTAGAAATCAACTCTGCCTCGGGAAGCCCAGGCAGTGCCATCCGTGGTTTTCTAACCCTGTAACCTGTGAGAACATTTGAGGGGTCGGGTTTTGCGCTGTTTGGTTGAAGTTTATGTGGGTCCGCGAGCATCTACGGACACGTTCAATGCAAACCCTTCACGTACAGATCACACATAATGTGCCTTTGTGGTGACAGCGGATTCCGAGCACTGGCACATGGAGAATGTGTCGTCGGAAGCAGGCGGAAATGCGTTGCTTTAATTCAGGGATAATTCGTGTGCACACTTTGGAGTGTTTGAAATGAAATTTTATGATTGAAGAAGATCAAGAATAATTTTAAATGGTAAACCAGAAATGAATATGTGTTTAGATAAAGGGGAAGGTGGGGGCTGAGGTTCCAGCAGACAGCCCTGCAGTACCCCCAACATATCAAACTGCGCCACTGGACGCGAGCGCGCGCACACACACACATGCTCTCACGCACATGCGCGCACATACACAATTTGCAAGAGAAGTGCGTCACAGAGTCACAGTGGTGTCCAGGGCCTGTTTTCTTCACCAGCCCTTTGGAGAAAAGAGTCCTCGGTGAATTGTGTGAGCACAAGAGACCTCCGGAAAGGCCTGCTCTGTGCAGAGTGCCCTCGGTCCACTTCCACTTGCTCACCCAAGGCCCCTCCAGGGAGAAGCACATGCCCTGTTCCTAGAATGGCTCTTTTGGAGGACAGCTCTGAGCCCAAGAACCTGAAATGCTTTGGTTCACTGAGGGTCATAAATCACCACTCCATGAACCAGGCTTTCTCTGTATCATAAGCCATATGCTGATTTGGAAAAGCAGACGTGTGCAAAAACAGGGTTGACTTAAACGTGGCAAAAATGCCCAGCCTGTCCCACGTAGCGACAAATGTGACTTAGACCTACAGGATATTGGCTCAGCTCAGGAGGGCACTGAGGGTGGGAGATTACTTTTCCTGGGGCCACCAGGTACCCCTGAAAGGAGGACAGACGCCCACCAGTGTGGAAGAGCAGCACTCAGGCTGGTCTCAAGGTGGGTCCTTGGGGGGGGGGGTGTGCTGAAGCAGCGTAGTTTTTTGAGGGCCGCCATTTGCCCAGGCTCCAGTTCTCCTCTATGGCATCCCCTCCTCCCCCACCCTCTACTCCTGCCCAGTAACAGGGATCCAGTCCCCATGCTCCACCCTCCGATGAAAGATGGGAGGGAGGAGGGGAAAGGAAAAGAAGAGTGCGTCACTGCTGCTTCTGGCTGACTCACCGTGAGGAAGGAGGGCGGAGAGGGAGCAGATACACGTATGACTGGACCTGTCTGCGTGTGTCCATGTGCAGGGAAGGCTCTGGCATGTCAGCCACTGACCAGTTGGCCACACTGAATCATCATTCACTCATCACCTCTCTGTTTCAGCAAAAACTGTGCAAATCAGGCCACGGTCCGAAAGATTTTGGACAGGACACTGTCAAACTATGACGTCCGACTGAGGCCGAATATTGGAGGTAAGCCACGGGTGGACATGAGAGGCTTTTGTGTTAGGTGGAATAGGGCTGAGACAGAGCCAGCCCTCCACACTAGCTGACCAGCCACACTGCTCCAGGATCTGGACCTCTGTCTCCCCAAATCCCACTTTGGGAGCCAATCCCCAGTTCAGGCTTCCTCTTCCCCTGGAATTTCTCCCACTTCCTGCCTCACTCTCTTAAAAGTCTGGCTGAAGAAGGGCTATAGAATTGGGTGCCAGGGACACAGCACCTAGCTTCTCAGGCTAGAGTTCCCTGCAGCATCTGTGGGGCGCACACATGTTCTTCAATTTGAGCATGTTCTTTGCACCCTGGATACTGTCCATCTAGCTCAGGCTCATTTGCTTCACCTCCCTAGTCCTCAGGCACTTACATCGTGGCTCCGTGCTCCAAGCCTTCAGCACCTACCAAGTTCAGTCCCTTTGAGACTGCACTCAGTGTAACTTTCATGAAATCTGGCTTGATCACCACAGGAACCCATCATAACCAACTGCCATACAAAACAAACGCCCCACCATTTTAGGGCAGGTAGCCCTCCAATTTCTAGCTCAGGGATGGAAACTGACATGGAGACCTCCAGGAATCCCTCAGTCAGTTGCTCCCTAGATTGCTGCTTAGTCCCGGCCACACAGCTTCAAGTAAGGGCCGCTTACCCTGCCCCTATGTGACAGTATGAGTCTCTGCTCCAGGTGACACCCAGAAGCCTAGGCTAGGGACAGACAAAAGAAAGGGTGCGTTGGATAGGAATTTGGCTGCTGTGCTAGAACCAGGAGGGTTCTGAGGATGCTGTTTTTGGCCCCAGGAGGTACCTGGTAAAACTAAGGTGGTTTCCCTAGGCCCTGAGCTTCAGGACAGAGTTGGGACCCTGCACTGGTGCTTGCCCTTTGTCCCATTGCTCCCTCCAGAGTGTGAGGACAAAAGGAACAGCCCAAGATATCAAAGATACCTGCATCAGGGCACTGGGGCAGAGAGGGCAGAGTGCACACTCTAAACCTCACCCTGCAAGGGCAGCAGCTCCTCCTGTGTGGGGGTCCCCTCTAGCCAGGGAATCCATGGGGTCAGAGTAAGCGGGAAGGGGGTGGGGAATGGGGTGGGGGTTAAGGGAGTCATTACTTCATCTCTGCCTCATGAATCTCAGCAAAGGCCAACCAACTACCACCTGAGTCCACCAAGCATTTTCTCACCCACCATTTTAGGGCAGGTTGCCTGAAAAGATGGGCCCCTGGATTAATTTGACCAAACAGTAGATGAAGGCAGATGGGTAGGGACGACCCAGGACCTGCTAGCATGTGAGGGGAGACCAACCAGAGGACAGTGAGGCTAAGGTATTCAGCATATGGGACCCCAGGACTCTGCATCGTCTCTCACCTGCCAAAGTTGAATTCCTCTCTGCATCTGACATGGAATCGAAGTTCAGAGCTGATCTGCCCTCCCCTTAAACACATGCACACATGCAAACACCACAGGCAGAGCCTGACCTAACTGTGACCCGGGTCAAACAGGAGCTATGTTACTTACTTGAGAAAGGGGCAGAGTATTGCGTGAGGCAGCACCCTGAGGGCTTCCACTAGCCTGAGACCTGCCCTACAGGGACACCAGGTTTGCAGAGTGAATTCTCTACACTTCTTCTTCCTCTGTTCCTTCTCTAGCACTACAACCAAAGCCAGGGAGGAGGAGTTGAGGCAACAAAGATTCCAAGAGGGAGGGAGGGAAGTGAGAACCCTAGACTCTTTTCCCATCCCTCAGTCTATGCAGGGAGACAATGATGGGCTATAAGGCCAACACCGTCCTGTTTGGGGATCATGCCTTCAGGAGGGAATGGGAGCTGCATTTCAACTCCCAACTGCCCCTCCATCTGGGAACCCTTGGGCAGCTCTGTGCCCTGCTCTGTAGGCCCCCAGCATTCCACCATCCTGGAAGGGCTTCCTGTGTGGTGGAAAGG